ATGTAGAGATGGGAGGGTAAAATAATTACTCTTAGTTCAGCAGGAAACAGGTCCAATCTCAGAATAAAATATATCAGAGATATATGACAGAACAGTTGAATCTATGAAAAATTGAAAACAATTACACCCACTACCTTCCCACTTCACCTTGGCTAGAATGCTTTTCTCTGCCTGTCCAAAAAGCATGGAAGCCATTGTCTGAAAGAGATATTTGTACACCAAAAAGATATTTGTACACGGAGTTCATGACAGCATTATTCATAGTAGCAATGATGTAGAAGCAGCCCTTGTGTCCACAGAGGGAATAAATGAATAAAATTTGGATACACAATGGAATATTATTCAGCCTTAAATAGTAAGGAAAGCCCTGGCCGGTTTGGCTCAGCGGTTAGAGCATCAGCCTACAGTCCAGGGAGACCCGGGTTCGGTTCCTGCTAAGGGCATGTACCTTGGTTGCAGTTTGTCCCCAGCCCTGGTTGGATGTCTCTCTCTCTCTCTCCTCCCCTCTCCCCCACTCTATCTGAACAAAAAATGGAAAAATATCCTCGGGTGAGGATAAAAAAAAATAGTAAGGAAAATGAGATACATGCTATAACATAGATGAACTTCATTATTAAGTATAATAAGCCGGTCACAAAAAGAGAAATAGTGTATAGTTCCACTTGTATGAGTTATCTAAAGTAGTCAAATTCATAGAGACAGAAAGTGGTGTTTTCCAGGGGCTGGTGGAAGTAGGGAATGGTAAGTTGTTTAATGCACATAGAATTTCAGTTTTGCAAGATAAGGAGTTCTGGAGATCGACTGGACAACAATATGAATGAAGTTACTACTGAACTGTACACCTAAAAATGGTTAAGATGGTAAATTTCATGTAACGTGTACTTTACCATAAAAATAATAAATAAGTAGAATAAAGAAGTATTCTGCCAAGACTTGATCTTACTTTTCCTCAGCAGGTCTCGGAAAACCATGGCTGCTGCTAAGGGAACAGCCATCGGCATCGACCTGGGCACCACCTACTCGTGCGTGGGGGTGTTCCAGCACGGCAAGGTGGAGATCATTGCCAACGACCAGGGCAACCGCACCACCCCCAGCTACGTGGCCTTCACCGACACCGAGCGGCTCATCGGGGATGCAGCCAAAAACCAGGTAGCCATGAATCCTCAGAACACTGTCTTTGATGCCAAACGCCTGATTGGCAGAAAATTTAATGATTCTGTAGTGCAATCGGATATGAAACTTTGGCCTTTTCAAGTAATCAATGAAGGAGACAAGCCCAAGGTATTGGTTTCTTACAAAGGGGAGAAAAAGGCTTTCTACCCTGAGGAAATTTCTTCTATGGTGCTGACTAAGATGAAGGAGACTGCTGAAGCCTTTCTAGGCCACCCTGTCACCAATGCTGTGATCACCGTGCCAGCCTATTTCAATGACTCCCAACGCCAGGCCACCAAGGATGCAGGTGTGATTGCGGGTCTCAATGTGCTAAGAATTATCAATGAACCAACAGCTGCTGCCATTGCCTATGGCTTAGATAAAGCAGGTCAGGGAGAGCGACATGTCCTGATCTTTGATCTGGGCGGAGGCACATTTGATGTGTCCATCCTGACCATAGATGATGGGATTTTTGAGGTGAAGGCCACAGCCGGGGACACCCACCTGGGAGGGGAGGACTTTGACAACAGGCTGGTGAACCACTTCGTGGAGGAGTTCAAGCGGAAGCACAAGAAGGACATCAGCCAGAACAAGCGAGCCGTGAGGCGGCTGCGCACCGCCTGCGAAAGGGCCAAGAGGACCCTGTCGTCCAGCACCCAGGCAAACTTGGAAATTGATTCACTTTATGAAGGCATTGACTTCTATACATCCATTACTAGAGCCCGGTTTGAAGAGCTGTGCTCCGACCTGTTCCGGGGCACTCTGGAGCCTGTGGAGAAGGCTCTTCGGGATGCCAAGATGGATAAGGCTAAAATCCATGACATTGTTTTAGTGGGGGGCTCCACCCGCATCCCTAAGGTTCAGAGGCTATTGCAGGACTACTTTAATGGCCGTGAACTCAACAAGAGCATCAACCCCGACGAGGCGGTGGCCTATGGGGCAGCGGTGCAGGCAGCCATCCTGATGGGGGACAAGTCTGAGAACGTGCAGGACCTGCTGCTGCTGGACGTGGCTCCCCTGTCACTGGGGCTGGAGACAGCCGGGGGTGTGATGACTGCCCTGATCAAGCGCAACTCCACCATCCCCACCAAGCAGACACAGATCTTCACCACCTACTCCGACAACCAGCCAGGGGTGCTGATCCAGGTGTTCGAGGGTGAGAGGGCCATGACGAGGGACAACAACCTGCTGGGGCGCTTTGACCTGACTGGAATCCCTCCTGCACCCAGAGGAGTTCCTCAGATCGAAGTGACTTTTGATATTGATGCCAATGGTATTCTTAATGTAACAGCCATGGACAAGAGCACTGGCAAGGCCAACAAGATCACCATCACCAATGACAAGGGCCGCCTGAGCAAAGAGGACATCGAGCGCATGGTTCTGGATGCTGAGAAATATAAAGCTGAAGATGAGGTCCAAAGAGAGAAAATTGCTGCAAAAAATGCCTTAGAATCCTATGCTTTTAACATGAAGAGTGCTGTGAGTGATGAAGGCTTGAAGGGAAAGATTAGTGAGTCTGATAAAAAGAAAATACTGGATAAATGCAATGAGGTCCTTTCATGGCTGGAGGCCAATCAACTGGCCGAGAAAGATGAGTTTGATCATAAGAGAAAGGAACTGGAGCAAGTGTGTAACCCAGTCATCACACAACTCTACCAAGGAGGATGCACTGGGCCTGCCTGTGGAACAGGGTACATGCCTGGAAGGACTACCACAGGCCCCACCATTGAAGAAGTAGATTAAACTTAGCTGGAGCTGGAGGGTTCTAGGGTGCCTTTAAGGTGAATTTGTTCCCCTCATCTTCAAACATTTTTATGATTCTTAAATTGACTGGACCTGAATCTACGTTACCATCATTTTGGGATTCTAATGGAGGAGTGTCAAATGCCATCTTTTCACTTGTTTCTGACTCTGGAATCAGGCTCTTAGGAAAACTAGGCCCCTCTCTGAACCATCTGATGAATTTGTCTGTTATTTAGTTCCAGCTTCCCCACCTTTCTTCTTCCTGTGTGGATTGTTATTTGTCACTCAGTAAATTTGTTCCTGAAGCACATTTCTTCTGGTATCTTTAGGCTGTGAGTGTATCTTGAAAGTAAGGAAAAGGAAAGTTCATGGAGAGAGCATGTGTGGTTTGATTGAGAACCTGTGAATGATTAAGCTGGTAAGGGCAAAGTATTTGAATTTTCATGAGCTAATTGTTTCAAGCAGGAAAATGACTTGATCATCAGGCACTTCCAGCCCCAGCTGGAGCAGTTGCTAACAATAATTACTGCTGATATTCAATGATAGACCGGTTTAAGTGTTAGGGTTCAGCTATGGGGGGCAAACTTCTCCTTGATATTACCCAAAGGTGGGGTCTAGATGCAGCATCTGTGCACTCAAAATCCATTATTACATTTAAAAAATTTTGTTTCTATTTTAAGGAGGGAGTGGGAGAAATATCAATCAACTGCATCCTGCACGCTCCCTATCAGGGATCAAGCCTGAAACCTGGGCATATGCCCTGACCAGGAATCAACCAATGACCTCTTAGTGCACAGGACTATTATGCTCACCACCTGAGAGCCACATTGGCCAGGGCTATTATTACATCTTTTTAAAAAATTTTTTAAATTGATTTTAGAAAGGAAGGAGGGGAGAGAGAGAAACATCAATGAGAGAGAACATTGACTGGCACCTTCTGCAGGCCCACAACCTGGGCATGGGCCCTGACGGAATCGAACCTGTGATCTCCTGGTGCATGGGTCGATGCTCAACCACTGAGCAACACCGGTCGGGCTATTATTACATCTTTTACATGCAGAAAACACTTCTACAACAAATTTCTCACAAATGAGTACTTTTATACAAGATGAGAAACAGGATTTAGTATGGTTTTATTCCTTGAAAAAAATATTTCCACCTATTATACCATATCACATATTTATATAAGTCTTGGGAACATGAGTGTAGAAATATGTGTAAGTGCATTTGTAACCCTTTGTATTTGAGGGGGCATATTTGGATGTGACATATGTTACCAAACTCAAGGGATTTGCACCCAAGGTGGTCTATTCAAGAACCAGACATGGCCCTGGCCGGTTTGGCTTAGCGGTTAGAGCATCGGCCTGCTGTCCAGAGAGACCTGGGTTTGGTTCCCCCTAAGGGCATGTACCTCGTTTGCAGTTGTCCCTGGCCCTGGTTGGGTCATGAAGGTGGCAACCACTCGATGTGTCCCATTCATGTCGATGTTTCTCTTTCTCTCTCTTTTTTTATTTTTATTTTTTATTTAAAAAAATTTTTTTTTAATCCTCACCTAAGGACATTTTTCCATTTTTTGTTCAGATAGAGTGGGGAGGGAGAGAGAGAGAAAAACATCATGAAAGAGACAAATCGAGGGTTGCCACCCGCACGACCCAACTAGGCTGGGGACAAACTGCAACCGAGGTACGTGCCCTTAGTGGGAACCGAACCCGGGTCTCTCTGGACCGCAAGCCGACGCTCTACCGCTTAGCCAAACCGGCCAGGGAGCTGTTTTATTTTTTATCCTCACCCGAGGACATTTTTTGTTCATATAGAGCAGAGGGAGAGAGAGAAAGAGAAACATCGATGTAAAAGGGACACATCGAGTGGTTGCCACCCACTTGACCCAACCAGGGCTGGGGACAGACTGCAACTGAGGTACGTGCCCTTAGCGGAAACCGAACCCGGGTCTCTCTGGACTGCAGGCCGACGCTCTAACCGCTGAGCAAGATCAGACCGGCCAGGGCTCTCTTCCTCTCTCTCCTTCCCGCTCTATCTGAACAAAAAATGCAAAAATGTCCTCTGGTGAGGATTAAAAAAAAAAGAACCAGACATGTTTCACAAGGTAGTTTTATTTATTTGCAGCAAGTAAAGGAGATGGGATTCATAGCCAAAGCTCTGCCTTTTTGAAGGAAGCTTAGTCATTGCTTGCTTACACTATCGGGTCAATTACATGTTGATTTCTTTTCTGCACTTGGCCACATTCATCAGGTTGAGTTTCCTGTCCTCTTTTCTGTTTAGTGCTGCATCTGCAAAATACTGCTATATTTTAACATTTAGCAAGAAATAACATTTAGAATGTTAAGACCTTTGTCCTATCAAATAATTAAAATGGCTATTTCCATCCTCCAGCTAGTCTGTTAGTTTTACTCAGTCCATGTCAGGACTGTCCTAGGCAAAAGTGAGTAAGAAATGTGGACTGAGATTGGGTCTTTGAGAGAAGTATGTTTATTGGGAAGCAACTTTTTATAAAATCAGGATTTGTGCTCAGGCTCCTGACCTTGGAGGCTCAATTTTTTTTTACTTTTTAAGGAAGTGTAAAATATATAGAAAAGTGTACAAATCATGAGGTTTCACAAACTTCCCAGCAGTTTTCAATCAACATGCAGTGTCTGTACAGTGTGAACAAATCTTGCTTCGGAATGCACCACCTTGGAAAAGGAAAACCTAAGAGTGCTGAGGAGCTCTGACCCTGCCGCAGCAGCTCGGGCCGCGCCTGCGCGGTGAGCTCGCCGGCGGAGGAGGAACTCGGGAGGCAGGAAGCCCCGCCCCTCCCTCGGCTTTCGCGTGCCTTCCTCTCGCGATCCCTGGGCCAGTCGCGCGCTCCCCTTCAGGGCTCCGAGCTTCCCGCGGCGCCTCCCGCCCCGCCCCACGCACGGGCTCGCACTCCGGTTCCCGCCCGCCCTCTCCCGCGGCGTCAGGCCCTTGCCTTCCCGGTCCCGTCGGCAGCCCGCTGCGCGAGCACCATGGTAGGCACTGTGACGTCACAAGGGGGCGGTTGGGGTCTGGGTGGGGGTCCCAGCTACGTCCGTCTGCGCTGGAGTTGGCCCTGGGGTTCTCTTCACCCTTATTTTCTGCGCCTCAAGTTCTCTGAAGAGACTTCTGGGAACACGTGGGAGTTTTTTCTCTTATAAAGAAAACAATGGAAGAACCCAAGGGAGAGTCGGCAGGGACAGCAGGAGAGGGAGAAGTTAGACCTCAAGAAGCACTTCCCTGACGGAGAGCAGGCTGCGGGCGTTTGGCCGGGGGTACCTTCCGCGGTTCCCAGGAGTGGGCAGGGACCCCAGGGAGGTGGCGGGCTGGCGCCGGGTCGGGCAGGCAGAGCCTCGCCGGCTCTGTGAAGTGCGCAGACTCTCGGGCTCCAGCTGCTCGCCGGCACCGAGTCTTCTTGATCCTGTGAAGCCTGAGACCTGCCACCGGTGTGGGGATCCCATACCAGAGCGGCACAGTGCGGGAGCCGCTGCTCCCTCCCGCGGCTCTCCCCGTCTGACGGTTCCCTCTCTCGCCCCATAGCTCTTCTATTCCTTTTTCAAGTCCCTGGTGGGCAAGGACGTGGTCGTGGAACTCAAGAATGACCTGAGGTAGGCACCTATTCCAACAAGTCTGTAGGGGGTGGATGTGCCCAGGGCCCTGAAACCTCTTTAATTCCTCACCTGAGGTTACTTTCTCTGTTTATCATCAGATAGAGTGGGAGGGGGAGAGAGAAACATCGAGGGACACATCAACTGGCTGCCTCCTGAGTGACCGGGACCAGGGCTGGGATGAACCACAACCCAGGTACGTGTCCTTGACAGGAATCGAACCCACAACTCATTGGTCCGCAGGCTGACACTCCAACCACTGAGCCAAACCAACCAGGGCATCAACATTTTTTTACAAAGCAAGCATAGTTTTTTTCCTGATGAAATTACTCCTGTGACTCGACTTATAGAAATGTCAGAATCAGTTCCACAAGTAAAGATATATATACAAAGATGTCTGTAGTTTTGTTTGCAGTGGCCAAAAAAAGGAAAATAAATACCTATCAACAGGGAATGGGTTAAATTGTGGCACTTCCATATTATACCCCTGTCACACAGGAATGAGAGGCAAAATAGTGTATGTGCATTATCTCACTTTTGTTAAAGAAAATGTAAAGGATAAACGATCAATTCCTTCCATCTGTGTTGCTTTTACATCCCGTACCCCTTGTATCATTAGCTCCTAACCATCTTTCAGAACTTGGATTAAATGCTATATCCTTGGAGAGGCTTTTCCTGGTCTTTCTAGCCAAGTAGATCCATCTTTTTTTTGGGGGGGGGGAGGTATGTGCCCCTAGCAGGAACCGAACCCAGGACTCCCTGCTCCAACCGCTGAGCCAAACCAGCCAGGGCCAAGTAGATCCTTCTATCACAGAGTCTTATTTTCTTCCTAGTGGGTGCTTCTCAAATTGTGATTTCAGAGAAGTAGGTTTACTGTTTATGGCCTTTTTTCCAACAGGGCCAGGACCATGTTTAAGCTCACTACTGTACCTAATGTCTAGCATAGGCCTGATATATAGTATGAGCTTAATAAATGTATGCTGAAAGAAAAGTAGCTAACCTTTGAGAACCTCCTATTGACTAGGCACTCTTCTGAATACATTTAACTTATTTAATTCTCATAACACCTCTATATGACATATACTATTGTTGCTATTTTACATGTGAAGAAATTGAAGCTTGGATAGGTTAAATTTGCTTAAGTCTATGCAACTAGTAAGTCACAGCCAGAACTGAAATCCAATTCTGTCTGGCTTTTTAAATTTTATTTTATTTTTTTAAATTCTCACCTGAGGATATTTTTCTATTTATCTTGAGATGGGGGCACAGGGGGGAGAGAGAGAGAAACATCAATGTGAGAGAGACCCAAACGACCCCAACCGGGGCCGGGGATGAACCGCAACTGAGGTACATGCCCTTGACTGGAATCGAACCTGGGACTCTTTGGTCTGCAAGCCAAGGCTCTAACTGCTGAGCCAAACCAGCCAATTTTTTATTGATTGATTTTATAGCGAGAGGAAGGGAGAAACATCAGTTTGTTGTTCCATCGGTTGATTCTTCCATGTGCCCTGACAGGATCAAACCAGCAGCAACCTTGGCATACCAGGATGATGCTCTAACCAACTGAGCTACACAGCCAGGGCTTTTTTTTTAAAGGTAAAAACAGGATCATATGCCCTGGCCGGTTTGGCTCAGCGGTTAGAGCATTGGCCTGCGGTCCCTAGAGACCCGGGTTCGGTTCCCGCTAAGGGCACGTGCCTCGGTTGCGGTTTGTCCCCAGCCCTGGTTGGGTTGTGCGGGTGGCAGCCACTCGATGTGTCCCTTTCACATCGATGTTTCTCTCTCTCTCTCTCTCTCTCTCTCTCTCTTCTCTCTCCCTCTCCCTCTCTCTTTCTCTCTCCCTCCCTCCCTCCCTCTCCCTCCCTCCCACTCTATCTGAACAAAATATCCAAAAATATCCTCGGGTGAGGATAAAAAAACAAAAACAAAAAACAAGATCATATATTCTATGCAGTTGTGAAACTTGCTTGTCACTTAAGAGATGTTGTGGATATTTTCCATGTCAATAAAGTTGATCTTTAACATTCTTTTTTAAAAATTATTATTAGAGAGAGGAAGCGAGAGGGACAAAGAGAGAGAAACATCGATGTGAAAGCAGAACATCGATTGGTTGCCTCAGAGGCTATTCAGCAGCCAGGGATATGGTGAAACCACCACTGAGGCAGTAGGTCTCAGACACTGGATTTCAAAGACTTACAACTTTACAAAAATTAGAGTCCGGTGTGGCCGGCATGGCTAAGTGGTTGAGCCTCAACCTATGCACCAAGAGATTGCCAGTTCAATTTCTAGTCAGGACATAGCCCAAGTTGTGGGCCCAATCCCCAGTGAGGGGCAGGCAGGAGGCGGCCAGTTGATGTTCTCCCTCATCAATGTTTCTACCTCTCCCTCCCTCTCCCTTCCTCTCTCTCTAACATCAATAAAGAAAAAAAAATTCTAAATAAAAAAATTGTAAGCCCTGGCTGGTTTGGCTCAGTGGTTGAGTGTCGACCCATGCACCAAGAGGTCACCAGTCTGATTCCCAGTCAGGGCACATGCCCAGGTTGTGGGCCTGATCCCCAGTGGAGGGCATGCAGGAGGCAGCCAGTCGATGTTCTCTCTCATCGATGTTTCTCTCTCTCTTCCTCCCTTTCTCCCTCCTGCTCTATCTGAAGATAAATGCAAAAATGTCCTCGGGTGAGGATAATAAATAAAATAAAAAGTTGGAGGACAGAGGTAACAGGGCTTGGAGCACTGGAGTTATGATAGCATTCCTCATTAATATTTCAGGGTCTTCAGGATTAGGCAGGGGAGAGAACATCCCGTGTCTCTTCAAAAAGAGCAATGATAGCCCTGGCCGGTTTTGCTCAGTGGTTAGAGCGCTGGCCTGTGGTCCAGAGAGACCTGGGTTCAGTTCTCAATAAGGGCGCGTACCTCAGTTGCAGTTTGTCCCTGGCCCTGGTTGGTCGTGTGGGTGGCGGCCACTCGATGTGTTCCTTTCACGTTGATGTTTCTGTCTCTCTCCCCCCCTCTCTCCCTCCCACTCTCTGAACAAAAAATGGAAAAACAATGTCCTCGAGTGAGGATTAAAAAAAAAAAAGAGAGCAATGCAAGCTGCTTTATCTACTTGACATATGGGGCTCTGGTTGCAGAGCAATAAATGTTTGAAAATAGCTGATGGTCTGGGGTCAGACAGATATGGACTGAGTCCTTGTTTATATGTTCTAAACGTGGGCATTACACAACCTCTCTGAGTCCCTGGATGGGTACTTTGTAAAGTAGCTAAAAGATTATAAAAGTGACTGTAAAAATTACAAATGCTCTGCAATAGCCCTGGCCGTTTAGCTCAGCATTTAGAGTGTTGGCTGCAGACCAAAGAGTCACGGGTTCGATTCTGGTCAAGGGCGCACACCTCAGTTGTGGTTCAGTCCCCAACTCTGGTTGGGGTCCTGTGGGAGACAACCAATCAATGTCTCTCTCTATCTTTCCTTTCCCCTCCACTCTATCTGAAGATAAATGGAAAAGTATCCTCAAGTGAGAATTTAAAAAACAAACAAATGCTCAGCAAAATACAGGAGAAATACAAGATGGCAGCTCTTAGAAGTGGGTTGATGTAGGGAAAGATGTACAATCTAAAATACACTGTTCAGTCTGGCCAGTGTGGCTCAGTGGTTAAGCATCGACCCATACACCAGGAGGTTGCTGGTTCGATTCTGGGCCAGGGCACATGCCCAGCTTGTGGACCCAATCCCCAGTGGGGCATGCAGGAGGCAGTCAGTCGATCTTTTCTCTCATTGATGTTTCTATCCCTCTCTTCCATCTCTCTCTCAAACCAATAAAGAAAAAATTTTAAATACACTGTTCTGGCCCTGGCCGTTTTGGCTCAGTGGTTAGAGCATCGGCCTGTGGACCAGAGAGACCGGGTTTAGTTCCCACTAAGGGCATGTAACCTTGGTTGCAGTTTGTTCCCAGCCCTGGTTGGGGTCGTGTGAGTGGCAGCCACTAGATGTGTCTCTCTCACATTGATGTTTCTCTCTCTCCCTTCCTATCTCCCTCCCACTCTATCTGAGGATAAGTGCAAAATTGTCCTCAGGTGAGGATAAAAAATAAAATAAGTAAATAAATCCAGTGTTCTGGAAGCACTGTCTTTCCTTCTCTAGGGCTTAGGAATGCCCCCTTTTGGTTCCACCTATTCTGGCTTCCCCAAGTCCGTGACTTCCCCAGACTGTTCCCTCCCTCCCTTCCCTCCCTCCCTCCCTCCCTTCCCTCCCTCTCCTCCCACTGATTCCCCCCTCCCCGTCCTGTCCCCAGCTTTGTTGTCCATGTCCATTGTTCATGAATACATGTATATAAGTTCTGTGGTTTATCTCCCCCACCCCCTCTTCTGGGGATTGTCAGTCTGTACCCCACTTCCACGTCTCTGGGACTACCCCATTCCTCACACTGTTATGTTCATTATACTCCACAAATAAGTGAGATCATGTGATACTTGTCTTTCTCTGTTTGGCTTGTTTTGCTTAGGATAATACTTTCCAGGTCCCTCCATGTTGTCTCAAAGGATAAGAGATCTTTCTTACAGCTGCATAGTACTCCATTGTGTATATGTACCATAGCATTTTTATCCATTCGTCTACTGATGGACACTTGGGCTGTTTCCAGATCTTAGCTATTGTATTTTGTTTTTTTATCCTCATCTGAGGACATTTTTCCTTTTTTGTTCTGGTAGAGTGGGAGGGAGAGACGGGAACAGAGAGAGAGAGAGAGAGAGAGAGAAACATCGATGTGAAAGGGACACATCGAGTGGCTGCCACCCGCACGACCAACCAGGGCCGGGGACAAACTGCAACCGAGGTACGCGCCCTTAGCGGGAACCGAACTCGGGTCTCCCGGGACCGCAGGTCGATGCTCTAACCGCTGAGCCAAACTGGCCAGGGCTTAGCTATTGTAAATAGTGCTGCTATGAACATGGGGGTACATATATTCTCTCTGATTGGTGAAAGAGGTGCTTTTTTTGTGTGTGTGGTATGTGCCCTTAGCAGGAATCGAACTCGGGACTCTCTGGTCTGCAGGCCGATGCTCAGCCACTGAACCAAACTGGCCAGGGCCCAAACTGTATTCTTATCTCAGCTCTCAAGTCACTTCTATGTTGACTTTGGTGTAAACTAATTTGGTTCTTTCTTCCCTCTTCCCCTGACAGCATCTGTGGAACCCTCCATTCTGTGGATCAGGTAAGACAGAGCAAGAGCCCAGGACTGGTCTTGGGGAAGGAGAAGGGGAGAGGTTAAGGATGGGATACTTGTATCTTTTCTCTAGGGCTAATGATGGTATTCATCTTTTCTTAGTATCTCAACATCAAACTAACTGACATCAGTGTCACAGACCCTGAGAAGTACCCTCACATGGTGAGTTGCGGGTGGTGGAAAATGGAAGCACCTCTAAAAGCAGGAGGGCCCTGGGTGGATAGAGGACTCTTTTTTTTTTTTTGGTACGTGCCCTAGCAGGAACCAAACCTGGGACTCTCTGGTACGCAGGCCGATGCTCCAACCACTGAGCCAAACCGGCCAGGGCAGGTAGAGGACATTTTAAAGGGTGTTTTCACATTTGCCTACCTTTCTCTAGTTATCAGTGAAGAACTGCTTCATCCGAGGCTCAGTGGTCCGCTATGTGCAGTTGCCAGCAGATGAGGTGGACACGCAGTTACTACAGGATGCAGCAAGGAAGGAGGCCCTGCAGCAGAAACAGTGATGGCTCCTTCTCTACTTCCTTTCCCTCTTCCACTGGTGATCCTTGACCTGGTGTCCTAGCCCAGAACCCCTCCACTCATACTTGAGATGTTGTGTTTTTGTTTTTTTAATAGTGAAGTTGCCTTTTTTTTTTTTTAAGGGATGAATAGATGAGAGGACTAATTAGTGGGGAGCAGCTATCCTCAGTGAGAAGGGGATGAAACTTGTCTGGGGAACTGCAGTGTTCCTTGTCCCCAGCACCTGCCTTTCTTACTCCTTTCCCAGAGATGGTGGGAGAATCTCCTAGAACTCTCAGGGGCAGCATGTGATTCATTTGGGGATGGAAGGAATCTGTCCCGCATCGGGAATAAAATTTATGATGCAAATTTCTGGTTCTGTGTGTTTTGGGAAGGAGGCTGGAGCGTGGGAAGGGGATGTTGAATTCATCCAAGCTCTTGATCTTCATTACTCCAGCCAAGAATCCAACCCAACTTCCCAGTATTACCTGCCACTGTTCTTTGGTATAAACCATATACTACTACCTCAATTGGGCTACACCATGTTTCCTGAACATGCCTTTACCTACATGGCCTTTTGCTCAGATTGCACCTACGATGAGTGCCTGCTGTCTTTCGTAATGTGACCGTTATTTTTTTAATCCTCACCCAAGGACATTTTTACGTTTATCTTCAGATAGAGCAGGGGTGGGGGGGTGGTGATCGAGAGAAACAACGACCGGTAGCCACCCACACGACCCCAACCAGGGCCGGGGACAAACTGCAACCAAGACACGTGCCCTTAACAGGAACCAAACCTGGGACTCAAGTCTGCAGGCTGACGCTCTAACCACTGAGCAAAACCGGCCAGGGCATGGGACCATTATTGTTAAATCAGACACCAAGATGCATTTGATGCTGCTGGATTTTTTCCTCAACCCAGCCAAGTCAGTATGAGGCAGGATAGTGAGAAGCTAGGAAAATCTCTGGGGAAGTGGAATGGGGAAACAGAGAAAAATTAAACAAGGCCAAACAATTTGAACTTTTTACAGCCAGCTGGTGAATTACAAAACTTTACCTCCCCAACCAAGGATGACAGAGCAAATGGTTCATAACACTGCTCCCTAACTAGAGAATACATAACTTAAATCACCCTGGCCTGGGAAAAATAGAGAACAAAGACCCAATTAATGCCATTTGTGCCCGCTAAGCCCAAGGACAGATGAAGTTGGGGAATAACAAAACCCCTGTTAAAGACAGACAGACCTAAGATAAAAGTAAAACTGTAAAACAGACCAAAGAATAATCCAAGATTTCCCCTATCCACTCTTTGATGCATCATCATATTAAAAATGCAGCTGGAGCCCAGCTGGTGTGGCTTAGTGGTTGAGTGTTGACCCAGAACCAAGAGGTTGCTGGTTTGATTCCCAGACAGGGCACTTGCCCAGGTTGTGGGCCCCATCCCCAGTGGGGGGCATGCAAGAGGCAGTCAATAGATGTTATCTTTCTCTCCCTCTCCCTTCCTCTTTCTCTAAAATAAATAAAGAAAAAAATTAAAAACAACAACACCTAGAGCCCTGGCAGGTTTGACTCAGTGGTTGGTGCATCCACCCTTGGACTGAAGGGTCACAAGTTTGATTCTGGGTCAAGGGCGCGTACCTGGGTGGCAGGCTTGATCCCCAGACCCATTTGCGGTTGGGGTGGTGGTGGAGGCAACCAATCGATGGGTCTCTCTCACATCCATGTCTCCCTCCCTCCCTCCCTCCCACTCTATCTAAAAAAAAAAATCAATGGAAAAATGTATCCTTGGGTGAGGATTAACCAAAAAAAATAAAGTGTTTTTTTCTTTATTCATTTGAGACACACAAACACACACACACCGATGAGACAGAACATCGACTGGTGGCCGCCTGCATGCCCCCCACTGGGGATGTGGCCCATGTGGACTCGTGAAACTTGGGCATGTGTCCTGACTGGGAATCGAACTGGCTACCTCTCAGTGCATGGGTTGAGCTCAACCACTGAGCCACACTGGTCAGGCAAATAATATTTTTAAAAATGCGCCTAGAAGGCTGATAAATATTCTACTGAAACCCTCTCCTAAGATTCTCACCTGCAGGAAAAAAAAAAAGATAAAAAACCCTTGGGACAGAGACTCAGTGTGGGTTCTCTCCAGAGCATGCCCAGGCCGGTTCCCAGGCATAAACTTCTTATTTCTAAGGGTCCCCGTGAGACTGGCAACCAGGGGAGCAGTGTTCAGCAGTAGCTTGACCCCAGCCCACCCGGACCCTGTCTCCAAAGCCCCTTTCCTCTGACTTCCCAGTGGGTTCAGCAGCCCCGCCCCCGACGTTTCCAGGAGCCAGAGCAGAGCACAGCCTGGGTTCTCCCGTGGTTTCTTCTACCCCAATCCCTTCCTCTGCTGCTCTGCCCCCAGCACTAACAAACACCTGTTCAAGCCCATGTGGACTCGTGGAATCTTTCCTACACGAAGTCAAGATCCCACACACTACAGGCTGGCCTGCCCCGGTAACGCGCACTCTGACATTCAGGGCAAACAAGTGGCATACTTTTTATTGTGGGGGGTGAATGCAAATTGCCTGTATTCACCCATTCCCGCTCCAGATGAGCGCTCTCTGCATTGCTGCCACCCAGAGTGACCCCAGTTCTCAACAGACGAGGCACTGGGGCCCTGGTCGAGGCAGGCCGCTTGGCCGCAGCACCTTCCCGGGCCGCTTCCGCCGCTTCCCCCGGGCACCGCCCCCTCGCTGCGGCCTGAGGACCCACCTGGGTGCCCGCGGCCGCGCCCGACGGGAGTGCCCGACGAGAGCGCCTGACGGGGGCGCGGTCCTGGGGGCGACCCGTCCTGTGCCCGCGCCGGCGCCCGCGCCCTCCCTCCCGAGCGCGGCGGGCGGCCCCCCCGGCCAGTGTCGCGCGGGGTGGCGGCTGCGCACGCAGGCGGGGCACGGCCGCCCAAGCCAGGACCCGCGGGCCGGAAACGCTCGCTGTCACAAAGGGGCGACACGTGGGTGCCGACAGCCCAGGCGGCGGTCCAGGGAGCCGGGGCGCCCGGAGAACCGCCTACCGTCCCGGCCGCTAGACTCCTCGGCCCCGGTCGCCAGGCCGGTCCAGCTTTGGCCGGCGCCCGGCTGACCACCTCCCTCCAGTACGTACCTGCGGCCTGAACCCGCGTCCTGTGGACACTGAGGGGCTCCTCCCGGCTCCTACTCTCCCCGAGGACCCGGAAAGTCCCCACTGTCACCGCCACTCCGACAGTCGGACCCTCGGCTCTTGAGGCCCAATCAGACGCCCCAGTCCTGGGGGCCTCGGGCGCCTGCGGTTTCTACTCAGACCCCAGCTCGCTCAGTCTTCCCGGTGTCTCTTTCTCCTTAGGTCTTTTCCACCCGGTTGGGTCCCCTGCAGGACCATGTCCATCCTCTACGTCTCCCCTCACCCTGATGCCTTCCCAAGCCTCCGAGCCCTCATAGCTGCGCGCTACGGGGAGGCGGGGGAGGGGCCGGGCTGGGGAGGGCCCCACCCCCGCATCTGTCTCCAGCCGCCTCCAGCCAGCAGGACTCCCTTTCCCCCACCCCGCCTGCCTGCCCTGGAGCAGGGGCCCGGTGGGCTCTGGGTGTGGGGGGCCACGGCTGTGGCCCAGCTGCTGTGGCCAGCAGGCCTGGGGGGCCCTGGGGGCAGCCGGCCAGCCGTCCTCGTCCAACAGTGGGTCAGTTACGCCGACACGGAGCTAATACCAGCTGCCTGTGGGGCAACGCTGCCCGCCTTGGGACTCCGCAGCTCTGTCCAGGACCCCCAGGTGAGTGGGGAGAAGATGGGGAGCGGGAGTTTTAGAAGAAGGAAGCAAGAATTGGAATGGATAATGAGGCAAGAAGATAGCATGTCAGATGTGGGGAAAGACTGATCAAATCCCAGATTGCCTAGTAACTAACCCCTCTGAGCCTTAGGCTTCCTTTTGTCTATGAAAACTTTAGTTTTCATGTTGAGAAGATTAAAAGAAGTGTGCAGAGCACAGTCTAGTGCTAGGCACTTGAAAGTTCCTGAATAAAAGTTTGATGAGCTTTAAACCGATGATAGAAGTTACTGTGAATTGTAGGGAAAGACTGGGTGAAGGAGATATGAAGAGGAGAGAGGAGAGGCAGGTAGGGCCAGGAGAGATAATGATGCTGGGAGGCCAGAAAGGAGCAGTGAAATGAGGGGAAAGTAAGGGAAAGGAGATAACCACAACAGATTGTAACTAAGTCCTTCCAGAGTGGGGCTGTGCCTTCTGGTCCTTATCACACACCATATATTGAACACATGGTAGATATTTAGTATTTTTTTCCTTTATTGATTTTAGAGAGAAAGGAAGGGAGACAGAGATAGAAACATTGGCCCTGGCCGGTTTGGTTCAGCGGTTAGAGCGTTGGCCTGTGGTCCAGAGAGACCCGGGTTCAGTTCCCGCTATGGGCATGTACCTCGGTTGCAGTTTGTCCCTGGCCCTGCTTGGGTCATGTGGGTGGCATCCACTTGATGTGTCCCTTTTATGTCGATGTTTCTCTCCCTCCCTCCCTCCCACTCTGTCTGAACAAAAAATGGAAAAATGTCCTCGGGTACGGATTAAAAAAAAGAGAGACAACATTGATTGGCTGCCCCCTGCACGCCCCCCACTGGGGATTTGGCCCAGAACTTTGGCATGTACCCTGACTGGGAATCAAATCAGCAACCTCCTGGTGCATGAGTCAGTTCTCAACCACTGAGCCACACCTGCCAGGTGATATTTAGTATTTTTTGAATGAATGAATAAATAATTGAGTAAATGGAATCAATATGTGACTTAGATCCTGGCTGGCTCCCTCATGTCCTGATTACACTATGTGAAATAGAGGTCTCTCTTGAATGCAGACTGGTGCAGCCACTATGGAAAATAATACGGTGTTTCCTCAAAAAATTAATAATAGAACTGCCATTTGACCCAGTGATCCCACTTCTAGGAATATATCCTAAGAAGCCTGAAACACCAATCAGAAAGAATACACGTGCTCCTGTGTTCATAGCAGCACTATTTACAATAGCTAAGATCTGGAAACAGCCCAAGTGTCCATCAGTAGACGAATGGATAAAAAAGCTGTGGTACATATACACAATGGAGTACTATACAGCTGTAAGAAAGATCTCTTATCCTTTGAGACGACATGGAGGGACCTGGAAAATATTAATGCTGAGCGTAATAAGCCAGTCAGAGAAAGACAAATATCACATGATCTCACTTATTTGTGGGATATAAAATCAAAATAAGCTAACAAACAAAATAGATCTAGAGACATGGAAGTAGAGAACAGACTGATAAACCTCAGGGGCAGGGGAGAGGAACAGGCGGGAAGAGAGAACCCAAAGAAATTAAATGCATATATGCATAACCAGTGGACACAGACAGCAGTGCGGTGAAGAGTAGGGCAGGGAGAAGGGTGTCAATGGGGAAGAAGGAGGGACATCTGCAATACTTCCAACAATAAAGAAAAAAATCATTAAAATAGAGGGCTCCCTCTTTGGCATTCCCTCTCTCCCTCAGCCTGATTTATTTCTGTTCATAGCATTTAAGGAGAAAAACAGGGTAATGCATATTTGCTCATTTATTGTCTCCCCAATTACAATGTAAACTCCAGCAGGTCAGGTGCCCCATCTGTTTAAATTCTCTCCTCATTCCTTAGAGAAGTACCTGGCATGTAGTAAGTTGCTTAATAAATATTGTTGAAACAATTACTGTGTTGTCTCATGTAATCGTTAACTTCATGTACTTCTTATTGCAACTGACACATAGTGAGTGTTCAGTAGGAATTTACTGAATGAATGAAAGAAAGAAAGAAAGAAAGAAAGAAAGAAAGAAAGAAAGAAAGAAAAAAAGAAAGAAAGAAAGAAAGAAAGAAAGAAAGAAAGAAAGAAAGAGGCAGCAGGGCTTCTTTTTCTTATGACCATTTCAAAGAAGATGAAACTAGCCTCAGAGGTCATGATTTGTGGGAGTGGAAGGAGGCCAAGCCCTGTCTCATACCCCTTCCCCTTCCTGCTAGGCTGCACTGGGGGCCCTGGGACGGGCCCTGAGCCCCTTGGAAGAGTGGCTTCGGCTGCACACCTACCTGGCCGGGGAGGCTCCCACGCTGGCTGACCTGGCGGCTGTCACAGCCTTGCTGCTGCCTTTCCGATACGTGAGTCACCAGGTCCTGGCAAAGAATGGGGTTACTTCCTCTCAGACCTCACTATAAGGTAACTAAGGATAGTTTATTTCTTTTCCCCTTCCTAGGTCCTACACCCCTCTGTCCGCCGGATCTGGGGTAATGTCACTCGCTGGTTCATCACCTGTGTCCAGCAGCCAGAATTCCGGGCTGTGCTGGGAGAGGTGGTTCTGTACTCGGGGGCCAGGCCTCTCTCCCAACAGCCAGGTGAGGAAGGGTGCAGGTAGGAGGGGAGGGGTTCCCTGGGGTCATCCATGCAGCTCACTTTCTTTGTTTCTCTCAGAATGACAGAATTCCAGGGGCAGGTGCCTGTGGGAGGGTAAGGTGGGAGGTCAGCATGGAGAAGCCCTTGGGTAGCTGGAGTAGCCCATCTGAGACACAGCAGCACCTTCACAGGGGGCCTCCTGTAGGCTAAGTCTGCATTTCTATGCCTCTCACCAGGCCCTGAGGTCACTGCACCTCCAAAGACACCTGCTCAACTCAAGAAAGAGGCAAAGAAACGGGAGAAGCTAGAGAAATTCCAACAGAAGCAGAAGATGCAACAGCAGCAACCGTCGCCCAGGGAGGTAAGAGGCTAAGGGAGGTAAGGACAGGATGTTGGTGCCATAGTGAGGGGGGAGGGGCCTGATATCTGGGTCTGTATCTTTCCCTCCCAAGCAGAAGAAACCAAAACCAGAGAAGAGGGAGAAGCGGGATCCTGGAGTTATTACCTATGACCTCCCAACTCCACCTGGGGAAAAGAAAGGTACGAGGACAGGGAAGGAACCCCCACCCTTCACCGCCACCCTCCTCAGCTGCTGCTGCTTCTGTTTTTCCCATCCTGCTTTGTCCTTGCTCCCACCATTTTATTTGGTGAAGATTTGCAGAGGTGCTTCTCTGCGGGCTCACCCTCCCTTTCCAGCTACTCTCAGCCTCAGCACTGATTCCTGCCTGCCTCTCCTGCAGATGTCAGTGGCACCATGCCCGACTCCTACAGCCCCCAGTACGTGGAGGCAGCCTGGTACCCTTGGTGGGAGCAGCAGGGCTTCTTCAAGCCAGAGTATGGAGTGAGTGGGCACTGCCACCCAGGCCTGGAGGGGGAGGGGCTGGGAGAGGTGCCGAGACGCCTTAGCATATGGCCATCCTTCCCCCTACACAGCGTTCCAGCGTGTCAGCACCAAATCCACGGGGCACCTTCATGATGTGCATTCCACCCCCAAATGTGACAGGCTCCCTGCACCTGGGCCACGCGCTCACCAACGCCATCCAGGACTCCCTGACCCGGTGGTGAGCTCCTGTCCCCTCCCAACTGGTTCTTTCTGCTTCCTTCCCTTCCCTGACTAGGACCCTCCCCCTCTCCCTTCCATGTTGGCCCTCAGCTCTGCCCTCTGGTGGTGGTACACTTCTCTCTCATTCCCCTCTGATCACAGCTTTCTCCCCTAGTCAATAACCGACACTCACCAACTTGTAGACACCCTTCTCTCCCTTCTCTTGTTAGTAGAAATAACAACTTTTTTTTTTGTTAATCCTCACCTAAGGATATTTTTCCACTGATTTTTAGAGTGGAAGGGAGGGAGAGAGAGAGAAACAAACATAGATTGGTTGCCTCTCACACTACCCTGACTGGGGCCTGGGATTGAACCTGCAACCCAGGTACATGCCCTCAACTGGGAATCAAATCCACAACCCTTCAGTCTGCAGGCCGATGCTCTGACCACTGAGCAAAACCAGCCAGGGCTAAATAACATTATTTTAATTAAACAAGAAATAATGTGAAATATTCTTATTGTAAGAAATTTAAAGTTTCAAATCTCCTTGACTACCCCGTTGCAGGCCTACTCCTTCTCAAGACTGAGCCTTTGTTATCGCTTTGATTTTGGATCTTTTTTTATCTTTCTTGTCTATTACTTACATGACATGCACCCGTAGAAATGTATAGTTCTCCTTTTGGGTAGGATTTTCTTTTTTGTCATGTTGTTCTTCAACTTTCTTCTTACACTTAATAGTTGTCTTAGAGATCTTTCCTGACCCTTATGTATAGACTGATTTCATTCTCTGTCATTTCTCTGTAGCATTCCATAGTGTGACTATACCATAATGGAGTCACTTTTTAAAAAACTTATGGTTTCTAATT